CCTACTAAAGTTAGGGTTACGCTGACATAGCCGCTAGGGCTATCAGCTTAGGTAGGAAAAAAAAAAAAAAAAAGGGAAGGTGACATGTACATATTTATCGTAAGAAATTTAAAAATTAAAATCAATCGGACAATTTAAAGTAATCCAAAAATTAGTAAATAACTTCGCTCACGATCACTGTAGTATTCCCAAGTGATAATTAATTCTACCAAACTATCCATAGATACATTCCTAATTGACCCTCGAGTACCGATGTACAGGCAAATTGATTTCAGTTAAAATTTAGAGATTGGCTATTAATATTTATTTTATGATTATATCGTAGCTTTTTTTCTGCCTAAGCTGATAGCCTTGAAAGGCTATTTCAGCCTAACCTTAATTAGTAGGTGAGCTCACGGGGCTCAAACCTGACGACGTTGCTAACATGAACCCTAGCAAGAGCCGTGCTTCGCAGAATCTACCACAGGATCGGAAACGCGATCCACTGAGAAGATCCGGCGAGGAACTCAGTGGGCTGTGTCTACGGGTTAATTTACTCGTTAAGACCTTCGTCGCAAGGTAGAAATAAAAAAGGTAAGTAGTTTTTTTTTTGCGGATTTGATTTTTATTACACGGACGTTATTCCTTCACCGTGGAAGTCAATCGTGAATATTAAAATTTGTTAAGTACCTACGTATTTCATTAGAAAAATTGCTACCCGCCTGCGGGGTTCGAACACCGTTGCATCGTTAGATACAAATGCACCGGACGTCTTATCCTTTAGGCCACGACGACTTCAAAACTGAATTTTATGAAAAGTTTTTTTTTTTTTTATAAATGAACACTTGGGCCGATCGTGCCTCTATATCGCTTGTTCCGCACTCTCGCTTGCATGCTCAAACTCAGGCGGAACGTTGCACTTTTCCTGCGTGCAACCTGTGTTCATCGTTAATAAGACGTTATCGCGTCAAAAAAAAACTAATTTGATGCGGAAGCCACAACAAACTGTGATTTGTATATTTACATTATTTGTTCTTAAATTAATTAAATAATTATCCTTTCGAACCGTCAAACACGAATTTATTACATAAGAAACAAAATAAACATATTTAAATTGTAAGAAAACACAATTTAGTATTTAAAAATTAAAAAAAAAACATATCAACGGATCTCTGCAATTTCCTTGATAACCTTCATGTTGATTGAGGTAGTGTTAATAAGACAGGTTTCCTGAAAATAGAATAGTGTTAAAAAACCGTAAAAGTTATACCATTTGCGAACGCAGATATAACGACCAAACAAACACTCATACATATTCATTATTGTAAATCAGATATTCCAGATTTTACTACTCAACTTATAAGCCAGCAACTTATTAGCTAAGCATTTTATTGTACTTCAAAATCCTACATCTTACGTTACATATCGTCTTTTCGCATTAAAAGTGTACAATTTCCAAAAATATTCGAAATTGAGTTAATATGCGGAAACATTTGATATCACCAGTATTTTTCTCATAAATACTGTCAAAAGTGCGTAATTTAGTTTTAGTTTTTTTTTTAGCTTACCTATGTTATTACTATTATTAACAAAATTAATACATAATTTTATCTTACTTTAAAAGACAGATAATGTAACTGGTAAAAAATAAAAAAATAATGTTGCAAAGATGATTAATATTAAAAATATCACATGTTAAATCTTTAAAACACTTTCCTGTAAAATTAGTAACTTTTGAGATTATACAGTTTTAACGCGACAAGACGATATATGATAGTTAAATTGTACGAGTAATATACCTTGCTATTTCCATATGCTTGGATGAATGGTTCTTCAGTAGGGTGCGGAGGCTCCTTATGAAGTCTTCTTATTTGTGGAGCGAGCAGGTTTGGAGCCGGTGGTAAATGAGGCTTCCCACGTGCTCTATTGACTCGGGACACAGCAGCTCCGACACACATCGTGACAACTGCCCCAGCTAGAGTATACCACATGTAGGAAACTCGAAGCACAGGATTTACTTGTTCGCTAAAATGTTTTGATAAAAAATTAACTACAACTCGGTCCGAGTACGTTATGTTATGGATTTTTCTTTAGCTTGCGTTGAAATATTGAAGAGAATCATCGTATACCTTGCGATATTTCCTAACCATTATCTATTTATCAGCCCAAGGATGACAATGACCGGCCATGCGCTGTATGCATTCATCTAATTTCTTTCTTGACTTTTAACAGGGGTTTCAGGGCCCAGTGGGAAGCCTACCGCCATGGCACCACTCTCATTTTTACTTTCCTGGGCATGTCTTAGAACTTTTAAAGGATTTTTTGTAGATTCGGAGGAATATATATTGTATAGTATTATATTACAGGATGTTCTTTCTTCACCGTCGAAGTCAATCGTGAACAATTGTTAAGTACATATTTCATTAGAAAAAACTGTACCCGCCTGCGAGATTCGAACACCGGTGCATTCATGTCGAGCGAGGCGTCTTATCCTTTAGGCCACGACTTTAAAACCTTGACCTTAATACCTTGTGTATTAGCTGCGGAAGATTTTACGGTAGGTAGTATCTGCACTGTGTTTCTTGCTTTGCGGATGCTCATTGCCAACTTCGACTCTTACAACGGCAACAAAAAATGTAGAATTCATATTTACCCCAAACCAACATTTACAGCGACTGTTTCCAATACTGTGTAGTTATAATGACATCCGAGGGTGGTTAAAGGTTTATGAGCATGTGTTATTTCTCCACGGGCGATTGATAGCTGTGCTGTGAGACACCACCATGACATTATCATGAGTCCACTGACTCCACCTACCAGGGCTCCCTGTAATTTTAATTCACGTGATTTAATAGCGATCGTCACTAAATCCTCAAATTTTGGCAATAATTTGTCGACTGGAAATAGTATTGTGGAAACAGGCAGGCTTTGTTCACCTCGTTGACTTAGTTATTATAATTGCTACTCAAATGGCATGATTCCGATTCGATGCTTTTGTATTTTTTGTTCCTATCTGTATTTTCATGTCTATCCACATGACAAATACTTATCAGTTCGCCTCTCCTTTGTTTCATTGCTTAGACAATTAATAGAATTAAAAGTAAAATTAAAATAGAATTCAGTAACCAATTAATAACAAACGGGCCGTCATCATCATCACCATCAGCCTGCGGCAGTCCACTGCTGGACATAGGCTTCCCCCAAAGCTCGCCGCTGAACCCGATCTTCGGTTCTACACATCCAGTTACTGCCAATTGCCTTGCGTCGCTCCATCTAGCAGGAGGGCGTCCTACACTACGTTTACCATTCCGATTCAGGCACCCGCCGCGCGCTGACGTGCCCATCGACCGTTCGATCGCCCGACCTCGGTTTGGAGCACATCTGGCGTCCAAGTGTTTTCTCGGAAGTGACTACCTGTGTTAATTGCGTCGCATCGCCGTCTGTGAGCGGGCGGACCCCTAAATTCCTAGAATTCGTTCGGTAACTTAGTGGCTCGTTTGCAAGCAGACGACTGTGTGCTGTAATTAATTGCGATTATTATATTTTTGGGGCCTCGCCGTAAGGCGAGTGTGCTTAAAGTCCCGGGGTAGCCCCCCCTGGGCACGTGATAATGGAGTCCACGATCGATCTGTTTGCGGAATTCCTCCGCCTGAGGTACCCGTCGTTATCGTCGGAATTTTTAGAATTTAAGACCAATCACGCCACGAACTCGCCCGCGGCCTCCGTCGCACCCGCCGCTCCCGTGTCCCCGATACTCGCGAGCAAAACTCCTGTGCCGACCGGTGCGGCCTCGGTTCCAGTCCTGTGTTCATCCGTAACAAACGTCGCGGCCGCGTCGTCCAGTGCGTCCGCCCGATCTTCCGGGGCCTACGTCGCGCCTGCCGCCCCCGCCTGCAAGTCGCCCGCGCCCTCCTCATCAGACTCAGAGTCGGACATGGAGGTCGACCCTTGCTCCGCCGCCCCGACTGATGGATTCACAGTAGTCCAAAAAAGTAAAAAGCGCGCTGCGGAAGCCCGAGCTCCCGCGGCCGCTAAAGTAAGCAAAGCCGCGAACGCGTCGCGTCCCCGCCCTCCAACCCCCGTCACTCCCGCTATCCGTGCCACACCGTCGCCGCGTCCGGTGGCGCAATCTAAAACTCAGACCCCTCCCCCGGTTATCCTTCAAGAGAAGGCAGCTTGGGACCGAGTTTCCCTGGCCCTTAAGGCCAAAAATATTAATTTTGCCAGCGCCCATAATCTCGCCAACGGGATTCAAATAAAATTAACGACGCCCGACGACCATAGGGCCCTCTCAAGTTACCTCCGAAAGGAGCGTATAAGTTTCCACACTTACACGCTCCAGGAGGAGCGCGAACTCCGCATTGTCATACGTGGAATCCCGAAGGAGCTAGATGCCGATCTCGTCAAGGTCGATCTGATAGAACAAGGCCTACCAGTAAATTCCGTGCACCGCATGCACACCGGCCGCGGTAGGGAGCCATATAATATGGTTCTAGTCGCCCTCCAGCCTACCCCCGAGGGTAAGCAAATTTTTAACATTCGGACCGTCTGTAGGCTCTCNATAAGTACCTTAGTCTAATAACTATTAACTAACAATAAAATTCGAACTTATATTTGCAACAAAAAACCCAATACCGTAGCATCGACCCATGGCATCAGTATTCCCATAGTAAAAACCCCAAGCTGTGGGCCCATTGTCATTGATTCTAGAGTCATTGTGAGCTGTAATATTGTCCCCATTTTTTCGACAATGAAAACTAGAGCTGTGAACAAAAAAACGAAAACAAATTATATACATAGAACAAGGTGCATTAAAATATATAGATAATATCGGTGCTTCATTCACATAGTGAGCGGATCTGAACGAAAGGAAGGTTATTTTCAATGTTCTGATAAATCATGAGGAGCTTAAATACAGAAGACCTTACTGGTGGATCTGACTTATGCACTACTTACCAACCCTAACTGCTGGGCCGAAAGATGTGGAACCAAATTCCGGCATGGATCAAACATTCATGTGCTGAATTTGTTTGCAAGAGTTTTAAACACCCATAAAAAATGTCTGGGTGCTTAATATCTATGTATATGTCTATATACAGATTTAAAAGTATGGGTGTCTATACCTATGACTCCCATAGGGAATCCTAGTTTGGCGCTATATGACCATGTGTGATTTGTCCTTGAATTTTTTTTCACTTAAATTACACACACTTTTGCTTAATGGGTGGACTACCCATGATCGTGGCTCTTACAACAGCACTGAAATATCGCAGAGCTCTTTAATGTGAAAATAGTGGTAAAAGACCCGTTAAATAATAATGCGTTGAAAGTAAAATAATCTACGAGTGTAATACTATGATTTAAAGTAAATAGGACATTATTTACCTACACATAACGCGCCCAAAAGTATCACCACTCCTCTCATTAGCCAAGCTGTTTGTCTATCCGAAAGTTCCTTGCTATAAAAAGGCTTGTAGAAGTCTTCCAATACCACAGCAGACATTGAATTCAGACTTGTCGACAAAGAACTAAAATATAACGAAATGGCAAAAATAATATTTACTCCGAAATTATCAAGATTTTTTTTATCTGTGTAAGCAAGGTACGGTTTATACATGATTACATCCCATGTCGAATTTTAGGGTCGCAATAGAGGCCATAGAAATCACATTGTGTATACCAGCACGCATCCTGAGTCTTGAGAAAAAACTCTAAATTGTATTGTATGAAATATGGAAACCCAACAAACAAACTGATGTGAAGGTTTATCTTAAAGCCCAAACTAAATAAATAAATATTATACTTTTTGTTAAATCGGCTACGAAAAACCGTGAATGTGAAGTTATTCTGAAATTTTTACAAAAATGGTAGATTTACCTCAATGCTGCACTGAATATGCCAGCAACAAACACTCCTGGTAAGCCAGGGATATCACCAAGAACGTCCATGACCAACAAAGGCAATAACTGATCCTTTGCCTTCGCCAACTAAAATTGCACAACAAGAAGAATTACTATTGGCGATAGGGCATTTCTTGAACCCGCACGGTACCATCAACTTGTCTATGCCTGCTTAAAGCAGTAATGCGCTTCGGTTTGAAGGGTGGAGTAGTCGGGAAACTATAAAGTTGAGACTTAGAACTCTTTTCTTAAGGTGGTAAACGGCATTTACTTTGTTAATGTCTATTGGCTCCGGTAACCACCTAACCGTAAAAAGTTTCCAGATGAAGCACGTTGGACTGAACCGTTTTTCTGAATCCGACATACAGGGTGTATAAAAAGATAAAATAAAAACACGAAAACAAATTTTCAATGAGATAATTCCGAACAAGACAATACTAACTAAATGAATCACGTTAAAAAGCACTAATTAAATTTTATTAAATATACCAAGCAATGTACAGATAGTTTCCATGTTCCCGAGGAAGAACAGAGAATGTTTGCAAGGTGCTTTCGCATTACTAATCATTTACAGAAAATGTGAATTCATTAGAATGCTAAAGCTAGTAAATTATTATTGTCTGTTCGCGCTAAAAAATAATTTATTCACGTTTTAGCATTGTAAACGGTCTCTTTACGCCATTGATCACTCGAAAGCTTTTATTTATAATGAAAACTAACAAAAGCATTAAAATTAGAAGGAACCACATCAATTGAATATCTTTATCTTTAAAGAATCTTAATAGGTTACAAATTTAAATGAATCACCTTAGTTTGAAGAGGATCACAATCGTGAAATCTTGCGTAGATTAACAAACCGCAGTAAAGACAGAAACAGTACAGTAGTGATATACCGATGCAAAACAAGAAGACTGCCCTGTAAGAAATTGAAAATCAGAGACTTATTAAACAGTGAAGTTAATTTTTTTACAGGTAACTATATAACGTGAGGCAGACTTCGAACCCATGTCTCGAACTGGGTGACGTCATTCACATTATCTATACCTAAGCTCCAATAGTACTTACTACTGCTTAACGTACGGTGGGCCGTGAGCTAGATAGACTACGAACCAAATGCAACAAAAAACAAAAACTTTTCATCTACTTTATTTTCTATGCAATTTCGTATTTATTGGTAATGGGATTGGAGATTTGTGTTAAAAAATTGTAATTCTAATAAACGGACGGTTTCCGAGTTATAATTAGATCGACCCATATCTTCCCGCAGGTCTCGTAAAAGGCGTTTAAAGAACTTTGTTGGACCGCCGATCCCATATATGGGTATTATACCACATAAGGTATACTCGTAAAAGCAAGAAGAATGTTTTTGAAATTAATTGCAAGCTGTTAAATTTCAAATTGAGATATTAGTGAATTTTTTTTATTACTACATGTTATTATCTTTTGTATAATTTGTAACCAAAATAAAACGTACCATTTAGCACCACGCAGTGTAGGCAGAGAGAGGTATCTTTGTACCATAGTCTGATTAACAGCATTTGCTTGGAGCCAATAAATGACCCCTCCCATGATTAAAGACCATATTGTATGTCGCGTTAGGGGATTGGGATCCCAGCTGTTATGGAATACAACAACAAAATTTTAATTAAAAAACTGTTTAGTCAATATTTCATAGATTTACAACATAAAGCTTAAGGGAAAACATAAAGTATGCAAATATAGGAACGGGCGTAAATAGAATACCGTACGATCTCAAAGTAAGAAAGGACGTATTCGCTGTGATGTTCATAGGCTTGGGTAAATAAACAAAAATTCGACTAGAAATTTAACAATCTAAGCCTTAATTGTTATTACTTACGAACTAAAATTCCCTAACAATATACAACCGATTTGTATCAAATATTAGACCACAAGAAATAGCTCGCTTATCGCTGTAGCCAAAGTTAAGTCCTAGATACTAATAAGAACGTCCTTTGCTGGAAAATGCATTAAAAATCATATATACATACACGCTAAACAGCCAGTTTTAGTACCCGTTTTTGTAAGCTACCCACGATACCCTACAAATTGCCCTTGTCTGATTGTATATGAGAGTACATAATATATAAAACAAGGGTGGTTTGTATAAGGATAAAGTTACATTGTACAGCGCACAGAAATCAGTAGACATCGGCTTAGATTTGCATTGCGGATGTTAATAAGCATCGGTGAACATCCGGTGGGTCGTATGCGCGTATATCTATTATTTGTAATAAAAAATAAATTTTCTTCCACGTTTTGAACATGACATTAATGTGATTATTTCTGAAATTTTATTATGCCTAAGCGTTGCAGCAGTGTTTTGTTGCATCGTAACTTTTTTTTTTTTTTTTCGTGTTTTTAAATATCAATCTTGTAACTCTTCTGCATAGTATTAAAGTGCATTAGAGAAGATTTTATTCAACAAATATATTTCACTGATAGTAACAAAATAATTGTAAAGTTTGCATTATAAGTAATAAAATTGTTATGCAAAGTATATTTAATTTATTATTATATTTATTTAATATATTTTATTATTTAATAACTGTTTCAGGGTAAATAATCAGTAAGCGACACGGGAAATCTTAAACTATCTAAACATTACATAAATGTTACTACTTAAATCCTATTGTCTTACTCGGGAGCTTCAATCCTTCCGCTGTCCATATTCCTTTGCCAAACAACGCCAATACCGCCAACATCCATAGTACCTTTTACAGCGACAATTGCCATTGCACCGAACATTGCCGTTATTTGAATAACGTCCGTCCAAACGACGGCTTGCAGACCTCCCTGTTTGAACAAATCAACTCAGTTTTGTTTTAATGCTTTGTGTGAAACGAACCGCCACCGGAGTAGAGTTCATCCATACTACCTGGAGCCACTGCCGTCATCCACAGTGCGTTTCCAGAGGTCTTTTTTGCCACGTACCATCCGGCTATGGAATGAGCTCCCCTCCACGGTGTTTCCCGAGCGCTATGACATGTCCTTCTTCAAACGAGGCTTGTGGAGAGTATTAAGCGGTAGGCAGCGGCTTGGCTCTGCCCCTGGCATTGCTGAAGTCCATGGGCGACGGTAACCACTCACCATCAGGTGGGCCGTATGCTCGTCTGCCTACAGAGGCAATAAAAAAAAAAAAAAAGAATATTGGAGAAACTCGATCAAGATTTTTTGTGTTGCCATTTAGATGAGTTTAATAAAAATAGCTATATATTTGAAAATATCTCATAGCACTTGATGAAAAACACCAATGTTATGAAAACGCTGTTTCGTCTAATTTGTTGACTAACATTTATAATTAACAACTACGTATATAATAGTGTAATTCTTTATTGTACACACAGTTAATAAGTACTAACACACAGTTAACGGCCGTCTGGTGTAGTGGTAAGTGACATGGTCACTACACAAGGGGGTCGCGGGTTCGAATCCCGCCAAGGGAAGATATTTGTATGACAAATATAAATGTATTTTCCAGGGTTATGGATGTATATTAAATATATGTATGTGTATAATAAAAATCTTACATTTATTTCCGTTATCTGGTACCTGTAACACAAGTTCTTTACGAACTTATTACGGGACCAGTTAACGTGGCGTGATTGTTAGTAAATATTTATTTATATTTAAAAGCCACTTACAGCACTCGTGTAAAATATGCAAACTAAGCACACTATCGGAGTTATAACATGTATGCCGATTCCAGTCACTGCAAAGACAATAAAATCCAAATTGAGACACTGTAAATACTGGTCAAAGGGAATTAATCACGTTAAAATAATTACCTTGATTAAATGCTAATGCTGGCACGTAGATAACAATGGGCAGCCATCCTACCTAAATCAAAATTGAGGTATCAACAAAAAAGTCATAAAAGGTAAAATATATATTAATAAATGCGTTTCCAGACATCTTTTTTGCCACGTACCATCCGGCTTTGGAATAAGCTCCCCTTTACGGTGTTTCCCGAGCGTTATGACATGTCCTTCTTCAAACGAGGCTTGCGGAGAGTACAGCATTGCTGCCGTCCATGGGCGACGGTAACCACTCGCCGTCAAGTGGGCCGTATGCTCATCTGCCTAAAAGGCAATAAAAAAGAAATAATGATCGTTACGAAAATATTAAAATTTTGGATTATTAAAGGAAATGGACTTACCAATGTAAAAGCAAATAAGATCGATCCAAATAGTCGAACTCGGTTATCGAATCTTATTGAAAGATACTGAAAAATAAATTAATAGAAAGTTGGTACATTGTTTTACTACATGAAAAAGTCTATAAGACTTTAAGCATTAGATTTACTTAGCGCCTGTTGTGCTAATGCACGATTGCGCACCACATACCTACTTATGTAGTTATGTTGTCAAGCTTCCATGAGTTGCTGTCTAAAGGGTGGAATATGGAAGGCTTTGGAAAGGTTTAATGTCGTACAACACAATAAATGAGACTACATGGTCAATTCTCTTTTTCTTTACCTATCTAAGCTGATAGCCTTGAGAGGCTATATCAGCTTCTCCTTGACGTGTAGGTGAGCTCACGGGCCCTAGCAAGAGCAGTGCTTCGCAGAATCTACTACCGGATCGGAAACCTGACTCACTGAGAAGATTCGGCGAGAAACACAGTGGGCTGTGTCTATGGGTTAATTCACTCGTCGAGCCCTTCGCCGCAAGCAAGGGCTTCGACGAGAACGGTGACCGATGCCTGTGGTACCTAAAAGCACCGTTAATGGATCGGGAGGTAAAATTCTCTAAAACGGTAGCGGCATTCACTTTTATGATATGTTCTATAGCTATGCTCCTGACGTTACACAAATTGCTTAGAATAAAATTTATGACAATCATTATAAAAAGTTACCTCATAATTGGATGTGAGCTTAAGCTGATGAAAAACAGGTAGGTAAACTTGTGTCATTATCACGGACATAAGGAATATCGCACCGATGATATATGCGTACTGCGTTCCGTACATGTACACTTCCGTTGGGGACCCAAGCAAGGTTATGCCGGATACAAAACTGTGCAAAAAAAAGCATTATCTAATTTTATAATTTACAAATAAAATGTGTTCTTGACTGAACTGACACAGCTCTACTAGTGTCATTTTTTTAACTTCTTGTGCTTCAATCTAGAACTCACTTTTTTTTTATTGCTTAGATGGGTGAACTATCTTACAGCAGACCTGGTGTTAAGTGGTTACTGGAGCCCATAGAGATCTACAACGTAACTTGAGCTATAAGTTCTAAGGTCTCAGTATAGTTACAACGGCTGCCCCACCCAAGGGCGGATCCAGTTTTGGTGCCAGGAGGGGGTTATAGTCAAGTCAAGAACTTATAATTTAATTTTGATAACAATAGATACAAGTAAAAAGTAGGTATTTTATTATTATACGTAAGTACTGTACTTAAAAATATTTATTTTTTATTGTACACTTGAAAAACTTAACACATAATAAATTTAAAAGCTTTTATTTTTAAAAGCATTAAAATCAATGTGGTCACGACGATACACTTGATTTCATTGTGGGAATTTATCTAAGATTTTATTATATTGAGTCAGTAACCTTATGCTCTTCAATCTCTCTCGTCAAAAAAATATATATAAGTAGGTACATAAGTCACGCAGGACTCTTTCAGTAAGTAGGTACCTATATATCTACCTATGAGGTAATTTATGAGCATTAACAACAATAACATTTAAAACACACACACTGGGATAATGAGAAACTGATTACTTACCATTTCTTGTAATTAATGAATTTACAGTAACAATTTTTAAGAATACTCTTATGATTGAAGGATTACTGGTGGCCCGGAGGCCTTTCCAGTTTCACCAGGACAGATGGGCGAGCACAGGCTCAGCCAGGAGGGGTGGGATTTGCTAACAGCTACCCGAGCGCCTCCGTAGGAGACCTAACAGCTCAAAAGTAGCTGCTTCGCGAATGAATCTACTACCGGATCGGAATCGCGACCCGCTGAGAAGATCCGGCGAGAAACTCAGCGAGCTAATTCATGGGTTAGGTTGCACGGCGAACTCTTTGTCGAGTTCGTGCTGCTCCTAGTGTTAGAGCTGAAGGCGTCTAATGCAAAGTTTATTGGATCTGATGGATCCGTAAGGACGTGTCTAGGGCGTCGACGGTGACTGGCTCCTGCGTGATCAGGATTCGGGGAGTAGTCAGCGGCGGCAACGATAAGGCGATTATCATGACGCATAGCCTTATCGAAGTACCGTTCCGACGCCGACTTCATGTATTTCTGGATAGATTCGAGGCTCAGGTCGTCGTGTAGGTCAACGTTCCTCACGAACCACGGAGCTCCGACGGCTAACCTGCAAAAGCGGGATTGTAGAGATTGGAGGGTGTCTATGTGTGTGTGGGCCGCGTGAGCGAACACCACACTCGCGTAAGTCATGACGGGCCTTATGCAAGTTTTGTAAAGTGTCACCTTGTTCCGAAGGGACATTTTACTCCGCTTACAGATCATGGGGTAGAGTCTACCGAGAATAAACGCGGCACGGTCACGGACTGATTTTATATGCGGGCGGAATGTCATCGATGCATCCAGGGTAACGCCCAGGTACTTGACCTTCCTGGCCCAGGGTATGGATTGTCTAAAGAGAGTAATCGGGGGTGTGAGATTCCTCCTCCTAATACGGGAGGAAATCCGTGTGGAGCTTCCCCTCTGAAATAGCACCGCAGTACTTTTCGCTGGGTTGATGTCTATGCACCATTTTCGGAACCACTGTCCTAGGGCTAGGGCTGCGCTCTGAAGCTTCTTCGCGATTATGGACTTGTTTCTACTGGAATAGTAAACAGTCGTGTCGTCGGCGAATAAAGCTAAATGGGTCGGCGGCGACCGGGGAATATCGATAACAAATAAGCTAAATAAGAGGGGTGAGAGGACAGAGCCTTGCGGGACTCCAGCTGTGAGAGTAAGAATACTCATAAAGGTACACTTATAAGCACATTAAAGCTAGAAAGAAATTTTAGTTTTTTAACTCAGAACTATGTTATGATAATATGTTGAAGTTTAGTCGTTCCGATTCCGATTGAGGTTAGGATTCAATTTGAGGTTAGGCCTAGCTAGACGTTACGTAGTCGATAAGCACGCGCGAGTGTGGCGCGGTAAAATTCAAATTTTCGATGCGTTCGTTCCCAAACATTTGCCATCATACAAACTTATTTTAACATATTAAATTAATTAAGGAGCAACAATATATTGTGTCCTAAAATCATTATGTTCAATATGTGGTCTACCTAGGTCCTGGAACCAGCTCAGGGGGGGGTCATGACCCCCATGACCCCCCCCCCCCTGGATCCGCCCTTGGCCCCACCCTTCAAACCGAAACGCATTGCTGCCTCACGGCAGAAATAGGCAGGGCGGCGGTACCTACCCGTGCGGAATCACAAGAGGTCCTACCACCAGTAATTACGCAAATTATAATTTTGCGGGTTTGATTTTTATTACACGATGCTATTCCTTCACCGTGAAAATCAATCGAGAAAATTTTGTTAAGTACGCATTTCATTAGAAAAATTGGTACCCGCCTGCGGGATACGAACACCGTTGCATCGCTAGATACGAATGCACCGGACGTCTTATCCTTTAGGCTATGACGACTTCAAATTGTACTTGATTGTAACCGGTCACTATAATAATTATCTGACCTAATACAAATCATGCATATGAAATTAAAACAATGCCCATATGAAACCTTACAGGCAGTATCATTGATACGACTTCTTCATTCACAAAATTTTTGGCCAGAGGATCCTACAATGATAGTAGGCTATCCGGGTATTGATGCAAGAATATGGGTACTGGACCTTCGCAACCACTAACTACCACTTCTACATTCCCTTTAGTTGTCCATCGTAACGACTGATCCTTTGTGCCTGACCCGTGTTCCTAAGTTCTCCTAAATGTTACTACTGATAGGGCGTGTAATCCCACCCAGATTAAACTCTTATATTTCTATTATTATCTTGTATTATTATTACGATGCTATTCAAACGTTATGTCTTAAGAGCGGCGGCGGCTTTCACATTTTTTATGATTTCCAAGTTAAAGATAAAAGAGAATTAAAGTTAACACTAATATTTATGTCACATTACGTTTAAAAAGTAGGCTTTGAATTTAATTCGATTTGACTTATTTTTATGAGACATAAAATATATTTTTTATTTTATATGCATTATGATTTTATATTTTTTAAGATAAGTTTTGAAATCAGTATCGAACCTTGCAACGAGCGACATGGAAACCGGTACTACTTTCATATTCCTCCCGCCCAGAAGATAATCAGTCTGCGTTGTTTGTTTCTTCATGAATCCCCAATACACTCCGACAACAGCACTTATGGCCAACATGAACACAAACACTACATAGTCGACCCATGTGAACCTTCGCATTTGATTTACAATATCGTCCACATTCCCACTGATTTCATTCATTTTGTCCAAATTACTTTTTACACTATCATATCCAAAGTCGGCGGTACTCGGTGAGCACCCAACGCGACAGTGCACGGTTAGAAATTGAATCGGCTTCAATGAAACAATTAGGATAAATCGCAATTTTAAAGAGGATGTTGCGAGATCCCCCTCGAGCAGCGAGAAGTGAATCGGGATCTGAATAAACAACAACCTGTTAGAAGGTCAATTTAAAAATAAATTCAGTTGAAAATTGTTTTCACACTAAATGCGACTACCGCCTCAGGATCTACTCGACCTACTGTCCTTTATAGCTTTAGAATTAAGGATGTATTTTCTTGACCTGATCTTCTACATTTCTAAGTCATTCTTCAGTAGATACTACTACTACTAGTAGACGTGAAAATTAAGATTCCCTGACTGGACCGGAAATGACGCTTCTCTTTATTGTAACTTTAAATAATGAATCTGTAGAGTGCCGAAAAGATTCAAGTTACAACATCAAGATAGAATGTTGATAAAAATATTTAAAAACAACTGCATCGCTACTTAAGCTTATAAAAGTATCATAATAATATGTAGAAAGGTTTTCATAATATTTTGGTTGTAGGTTTGATAGAAACTCACTAGATTATCTATTGGTTAAGTTGCACGTCGAACTCTTCGTTACTTCGACTAGTTTGACGCTACTGGTGCCTGGAATTCCTAAAACAGTAGAACAGCTCAGCAGTCCATGAAGGCCAGTATTCAGTCAACGTGATAAAGATGGTCCGAGGATATTGCAAAATTATTTTCGATGCTGCGTGCTTTTTCTTATTGCTTAATGGGTGGACGAGCTCATAGCCCACCTGGTGGTAAGCGTTACTGGGGCCCATAGACATCTACGACGTAAATGCGCCACCCACCTTGATATATCAGTTATAAGGTCTCAGTATAGTTACAAGGGCTGCCCCAACCTTCAAACCGAACGCATTACTGTTTCACGGCGGTGGTGGTACCTACCCGCACGGACTCACAAGAGGTCCTACCACCAGTAATTACGCAAATTATAATTTTGCGGGTTTTATTTTTATTACACGATGTTATTCCTTTACCGTGGAAGTCGATCGTGAACATTTGTTGAGTACGTATTTCATTAGAAATTCATTTCATTAGCGTTAATTCATTTGATTATTTCATTGGCGCGTTGTCTTTTTTTATTTTTTGGGCGTTGCACATTATATATACGATATGTATTACTTATTTATGTATTATATATTGCTATGTTATTATTGTAATATATTATATTAGTACGTATAAGCAATTTTATTTAATAAAAAAGCAGTAATTAAATTTCACTATTATAAGAAATCTGTTTATTTACTCCCCTTGCCAAGGACAGAAATATGTACAGAAATGTTCATGAATGGGTAAATGGAACAAAATAGCTATATGTGGTTTCTCGACTTCTTACAAAAGTGCAGTCAACTTTACTGAGCGATTATTTCATATCACCTCATTTAGCACCTCAATTAGTTATCATTTCATGAAATTTTATTTCAAAATTAATTTCATTTTCATACAAGTCGTTGTTTCAGCCTTTTTACAAAAAATTGACCTGTATAAACTCAGCCTCCTTTGCCTGTCCATGAAAAACATAAATACTTATTTATTTACAATCAACTGTCAACTGGTGCGGGTAGCGGGTAACATAAGCGAAATTTTAGTAAACATAAATGATAAAACTTTCGTTACTTTCGTAAATAAACAGATACAATAAACATGGCAGGACTGTTACTAAGTTCTACAGAAAAAGTTTTTATTGTTCACGGTGTACAAGTAAGTCAAATTTGAGATTAACATTTTTAGGTTATAAGAATATTAATACTAAAATCTTGCAAAAGTACTGGACAATTTGCTGATTTCCAGTATATGTGTATTCACTATAAATGTTTTTATTCGTGAAATAAAAATTAACTGGAAGACTAATAAGTTTGGCAGGAAGTGAGGGCCTCATTTGTAATCCTTGGTTATTTTTGTCCAATAATTTAACATATATCTTTTTTAAAATCGATCCTCTATTACACTATTAGTGAAAAATTATTATTATTTTTGATACGTTTAACTACAGTTTGGAATTCTGTTTTCAGGAGGACTTTCGTTCCGATGGGCGATCAAACATTGACTATAGGCCCATGGAACTAGAAACAGATGTAGTGAGCCACGCTAGTGGCTCAGCGCGGCTTCGTCTTGCAAACACAGACATTTTAGTTGGCATTAAAACAGAAATAGATACACCAAAGCCAGACAAACCAGATATGGGAAAAATTGAGTTTTTTGTTGATTGGTAAATAAAGACCTAGTTTACATAGTAGAAATGAGAAAATGGGTCTAAATTGCTATGGCTATCATAAAAATAATTTCTTGAAAGTAAAATATGGGTGACAATGAAATTTTATTCATATTTCTAGCTCAGCAAATGCCACACCGGAATTCGAAGGGCGTGGTGGAGAAAATTTAGCTAGCAGCATTTCAAACACAATGCAAAGAGCATATCACTCATCACAAGCCTTTGATTTGAAGCAATTATGCATTGTAGAAGGCAAACAGTGCTGGAAACTTTATGTTGATATATTGGTATGTTATAAAAAAGCAAAGCTGAGCTTAGCCTACTAGTCTCCCTGATTGCTTTACGACAGAAATAGATAGGAAGTGCTATCTACTTGTACTGATTATCAAGAATAGCAATTAAAAATCATCATTTTACAATTATTTGTGGTATCTGATTTTAATTTATTTTATTTCAAGTCTTAGTGTTGCTGAAATAATCCCTTAAGTTACCAGCAATTAGATATAGAGAATAAAAATATAATAATTTACACAATGTTTGCTTTCAAGTTTGTTGTATATTTCTTCTTAGTCACTTGCAATCTTGATATAGTGGTCATGGTCATCAATTTGGGTGGTGGTAAGCTTGACAAGACGTTGCCATTTCTCACATACCATGGCTCTTATTGAGCACTCGTTGATGGGACCGTTTAGGTCAGTACATTGTTACAGTGAACTTCTGCATGCGCAGTCTTGTAGTCCTGTACTGATGATAGGACCTCTTGTGAGTCCGCGTGGGTAGGTACCACCACCCCGCCTATTTCCGCCGTGAAGCAGTAATACGTTTGGGGGGTTAGGGTAGCGTAGCCGTTGTAACTATACTGAGACCTTAGAACTTATATCTCGAGGTGGGTGGCGCATTTACGTTGTAGATGTCTATGGGCTCCAGTAACCACTTAACACCAGGTGGGCTGTGAGCTCGACAACCCATCTAAGCAATAAAAAAAAGTCTATCATGCCTTACACCACAAGGCGCTCCACTAAGTTGTTGTTTATAAAAAAAAAATTATTTGATTGATATAGTGATTTTTTCAGTGTCTTGAAATCTTGTCAAAATCTCAAATGATCTCATTCTCTGATCAATAAATAATAGTACAGGATCCCTGGTACACTTTTCATCTTTTATTACTAACAAGCTGATTTTTCGTTAGTAGCTTCCTTTTGACTAGACGCCCAACTTTTTTCCTTACAGTAACGTTGTTAAATGGTAGCTTACTAGGGGTAACAAGGACAAAATATGTTGATTTCACGAATTTTAAAAATTTATTACTAACTGAAGTTTTCTTTGTTAATTATAGAGAAATTATCTAAATAACGTGAAGAAATATTTGTCCTACAAAACATAAGGTTTTGTTAGGGAGTCCCCCCTCTCCAACATGTATCACAAACAAGGTCATAAAAAATAATTACTAACCAGCTGTTTTGTTTTTATTGGTTAGCTAACATTTGCATAGTTTACCACCCACATTGTCCTACAAATTGCATGATATGTCATCTTGGTGCTACGCTCAAAAGTTGTAGTACTAATACTTAATGTAAAAATAAATACTGTCAAGCTGAATGTTCGAGAATAGCTTCGTTTCAATGAGACGCCCAACTAATTCTTGTACGAAAATTCTCGATTGTGGTTTATAACTAAGATAATAGGGATGAAATATGTTGATTTGACAAATTAATTTTTTTTTATTACTAACCGATTTTTTTTTTGTTAACATTTTTTTTTTTGCTACCCCTAGTAAGCTACCATTTACCAATGTTACTGTATTGAAAAAAGTTGGGCGTCTATTCAAAAGGAAGCTACTCACGAAAAATCAGCTTGTTAGTAATAAATGACGAAAAGTGTACCAGGGATCCTGTACTATAATGGCATATGCAATGTTATTTCAGATCTTGGAATGTGGGGGTAATTTGTTTGATGCAGTTTCATTAGCAACCAAAGCAGCTCTGTTTAACACAAGGATACCATTAGTAAAAGCCTTGTTGATGGATGGAGGAAATGTTGATTTACAACTCTCAGATGATCCTTATGATTTCAAATTTCTAGATGTTGGTTCTGCACCTTTGTTGGTAAGTTAAGATATTGGAAAAAATATTTTTAGTGGCCCATTTAGACATAGATGTGGGTCACAAATATACCATTTATAATATAATAATATTATTACTAATGATGTTATGCTTCACTATGACTATCTAATATTTTTAAATATACCCTTTAGATCAGAACTCATAATTGCTTTGGGAATATATTTTGGTATAATGGCTGAGTTCAGAACCATTCAAACAATAGCTAGAAATTACTGTGGTCGCATACACTTTTTTTCTTGAATACCTGATTTTTATCTTTCCAATTTCAACATTGATGCAGTGGTGCAGCGTCATTCTCGCTCACGACTCGGTCGTGCGCGGACGTGCTTTCCGATCCGTGGCCCGCTTGCGAGCTGCGTCTCTGAACTCACAGTTGTGCTCGACAGTGTAGTGACCGTGAATACATCGTGCTTACAATTCAGTAGTGCGGACGTGCCGATCCGTTGGTCGCTTGCGATTTGCGTCTTGGAGTCCATTTTTGTGCGCTAAAGTGTTGTAACCGCGAACCCACCCTTTACCAACTGCCTTTTTCAAGGCAAAACCAATCGCTACGATCAGACTTCCTGTGGCACTCACAGGCTAGCGATTTCCTAACCCTTCCCAAAACAACAGTTTTTTCAAGACTAGACCCCCGCTCGCGATTCTGCCTGCTGTAGCACTATACAGCCCGAGCGGGTTCCTTTCCCTTTCCCCGCCGATTGCCGTTTTCACGGCATAGGCATTCCCCCCCCCTGCTCCTTGCTGTCCTGCAGCACAGGGGGGTTACAAATCCTATCCGGGGCCTCGCCTTTCGGCGAGTTCAACAAAAGTCCCGGGGCCGCCCCCCCCGGGCAAGAAGACCGAAGATGAGCGAAGATTTTGTGTGTGACAGTGAAAGTGCTAGGGACATTGTCGGNAAAAAAAAAAAAAAAAAAAAAAAAAAAAAAAAAAAAATGTGCAGCGTGTTGGAAGCGGGGCCCGTCTCGAGCGGCACTTTTTAGGGGGCGGCAAAATTTCTCAATAAATAATAAAAATATTTGAACCATTTCATATTTTTATCGCAACTGCTAATTTGGATCGATTGAACTGGCAACACCGCCTATACTGACCTGCGGGGATTCCCCGAATTTTATAATAGTAAGGAAGGACGTGATGCTTTGACAATTCAAAGAAAGTTTTATTGATGGATTGTCAGTTATCCATTTCACATTGACGTATCGTAATTTATGTTACGCTTTAAAACTATAATTTTTGTGCAAATATGTACCTACGTGTAGTGGTTGATGATCAAAGTGAAATACCGAAATAAAGGGGCGGCAAAATTGTCTTCGCCCCGGGCGGAAGATAATCACGCTACGCCACTGCATTGATGCTTGTACTACAAATACGAATTTTAATTTTAGGTAACACTATGTAAAATAGGAGAAAAATGCGTGGTAGATCCCTCAGCTGAAGAAGAAAGCTGCAGTGTAATATCATTGATAGTTGGAATTACTGGAAACAGCAAATCTTACTGTGCAGATAAAGGAGCTTCTAACCTATCTGATGTTGACATTAAATGTAGTACAATCAGTATGAACGGACCAGGCAGTTTAGCACCAAAGACATTAAAGAATGCAATTCACCAGGGCATGTAAGTAACATAATTTTTTTTTTCTATTTTTTTTTTTGTTTATATTTATAGTTTTTAATTTTAGTCTGCCGATTGCCGCGGATTTTACTTTCCGATGAATGCAACCCTGGTTACAATAATCAATTGAATCATATTATGCGAATTTTTTTAAGTGTGAAAATTCTGAAAATCAAACAATACCTAGTCAGGTCATAAATTCTGTCACATGTTTAATGTAAAATAATTCAAACAAGTTTATTCATTATGTAACCATTCATATACCAAAATGAACTTAACAAAACATAGATTCTTATGACACTAAAGTTTATTCAAAATTACCTCCGTGATTTTGAATACAGGCCTTCAATCTGCACGGCCAGTCGTCTATCGCAGCACGAACGAGGTCCATGTCAATATCGGCGGCTGCCTTAATCAAGGATGTCTTGAGTGACTCCAAATTGGGATGAGGCTTGGAGCACGCCTTTTCCTCCAAGTGTTGCCATATCTTGTAATCTAACGGATTCAAATCTGGACTGGAGGAGGGCCAGTCTTCGTGCCGGATGAAGTCGATTTCACGCGCCGCCAGCCAGTCTTGTGTGCTCTTNGCTGCGATAGACGACTGGCCGCGCAGATTGAAGGCCTGTATTCAAAATCACGGAGGTCATTTTGAATAAACTTTAGTGTCATAAGAATCTATGTTTTGTTAAGTTCATTTTGGTATATGAATGGTTACATAATGAATAAACTTGTTTCAATTATTTTACATTAAACATGTGACAGAATTTATGACCTGACTAGGTATATATATGTATATATATATATTTTAATATCGTCTGTCTTTATCAAACGTTGTAGTCTGCGATCACTTGTAACCGTTAGCTTTTAACCTTCAATAAGTATTTTTTATTTTATTTATTACGAATAAAGCCTTTATTTTAATAGGCTCGTATTAAGTGAACTCAGAACATAATGCTACAGCAAATTTTTAGTTGCAAGAGATTAGTAATTATATTTTTTTAATTTTTCATTAATTATTGTCACGTTTTCGACTCTGAAGACAGTTCCAATCATTGTTTTAAATATACTAGATGAGTAGTTACCGCGTCAACGCAACTCAATATAAGCCCACAGGCGTATACCCAGCTTATTTCATTCAGTTACTTGCGTGCCGTCGTCCGAGTAATAAGTCCTGAAAAATGGGTAAATTTGTGGCGAAAGAGTGCATTTTGAGGTCGGAAATACACAAAAAGGCAAGCGGGATTACTTTTCACACATAATTTTATCAATTCTGTATTGATTTTCATTGTAAATAAAACAAAAACTGATTTTAAAGATCATCAAGAAAAGGCTATGAAATTAAGGTTCAGTATTGCCAGTAAAACATCTTTTGGTTTTCGAATGAATAGAGAACATTTTTATATTAATAAAATCCAGAAATTTTCGAGGCAGATCATCAAGTTGATTCTGGCTACCACAATGGTTTCTGAATATGCGTCTGAATAAATAAAAACACACAAATACAATTATTACACAATTATAAATTATTTGTATTAGTATTATTGAGCTCGTCCACCCATCTAAGCAATAAAAAAAAACTTCATTTAAGTTTATTTAAAATTATTTTAGTTAAATTATTTTATTTATTAATTTTCGCCTAAATAATAAATATTCTGGCGAAATATTTCTTATAGCAGGCAACATAAATCGTTCTGCTTCAAGTAATATTACCATCTTTATCCAACTAACGATACGCCGCGTAACTAGTGAACTAGAGTAACAGAGATGGATATATTATTATGTTTAATTTAAAATGTTTATTAGTTTCAAAGCTACATCGTCGTCGCATAAAGCGGCTACACTTTTGTGTACGCAAGGTACTGAGGTTTGCTCCTCTAGTTATATTTCAACTCTCTGGTTCCAATGCACCCAGTGTATGTACGTACTATTTCTGAACAAAAACATTCACAGCGACTGTGGCAGAAGAAACACGCTTGGTAAAGAGGTTGCTCGTGAATCGAATGTTTATAATATATTATATGAAAAAGTTTGACAGTCCTTAACCCTTAATAAACACCAATAAAATATTTAGTAAAATAATAATTTATCTGTTGTTATATTATTTACAGCATTGCTGCAAAGGTACTAGACGATTCATTAGGACAAGCCTTATTGCGTGAACGACGAGAAAATATCAACTCAATGAAAAGTTCATATGGATTTCTTAAATAAACACTAAAAAAACATTTTTTTCCCAATGTCCTTTATTTATAAACACATCAAATACATAGTAATATAATTATAATTACGAGTATAATATGAAACTTATAAAGTAAATTAAAAATAAAATCATATCACAATAAATTTTGAGGTTAATAATGAAGTGTTTGATATGTGAAGAATTACGGCAAATGGAATGGAATACCTACACAGAGCTCAACAATCTTGTATGGTAATTAAAGCACATGCCGATCTTCTAATCCCACTTTGTATATGCCCTCAACATGTGGATTTTAAAACACTAATATTGGTAATATTTTCATGTTTATATTCATGATTATAGCTTTAAGTGTAATGTGTTTCAGCGCTCTTAATTTTTTTATCTTAAAAAACACAAGACAAACTCATCAATCAATTCGAAACTATTGAGAAAATTGTAGTCGCCCAGATATCCATCCCCACAGAAGATAGAAAATAATTTCAACATTAATATTTTTTTCTTAATAGTATCATCATCAGGTTGTATTTTTCCACTGCTGGATGTAGGCGTCTCCTATAGTCCGCCACGATGAATGGTCCTCCAAGTTTAAAATGTAAATATGTATTAATATGTTACTAAACCACTAATAAGGTACTGCTAACCAACACCAGATATTATAAGAAAAATTGTTTAAAAACAGATTACACATATTTGAAATCACTTACTCTAACCATCACAGTACATCATTCTTTTCAAAGTACATACAGTACATAAAATCATTGACATTCTTTGAAAACTGCTAACATTGACATCAATGTCGACTGATTTTAGCATGTTTCAATAAGATTTCCATTTTGCCATCACAGATCATTCCCATTTCATCTACAAATATATCTAAGAAATCTATCAATCATATCAATTAGAATGGAACAGAGAAACAGTTTGGAGCAACCACGTTTTACTTTTGTTTCCTTAGCTTGATATTACTCAGGTCAGGTTCAAGTAAATTTTAACAAAAATANCAATGTCGACTGATTTTAGCATGTTTCAATAAGATTTCCATTTTGCCATCACAGATCATTCCCATTTCATCTACAAATATATCTAAGAAATCTATCAATCATATCAATTAGAATGGAACAGAGAAACAGTTTGGAGCAACCACGTTTTACTTTTGTTTCCTTAGCTTGATATTACTCAGGTCAGGTTCAAGTAAATTTTAACAAAAATATTTGCATGCTGCAAACTGTCATAGTGATGTCATAGAGATGTTGGTAATTCATTAACAACAGATCAGTCTACTCAAATAGTAAAACACAAAATTCTAATTTTAAAGTACTGTTTGCAGAGACTTCTTTTGAGTAAATGTTTTTTTATTGGTATAATTAAAATTTATTCTGCATTTAGCAGATTTATCCAGATGGACAAGTTTTATATTTTTGTCCCAAGAGGCAGACAAGTACGCCTGCCTGACGTAAAGTGGGCACTGTCGATCATGAAACATCGGCAGTACCAATGTCTGTGCTTAATAAGTATCTTTTTTATTACGCATTACTATATGAATATTAATCACATCTCTACTATTAATGAAAAAACAATAATAGTTATTGTTAAACAAAAGTCAAATGCCACTGTTAAATTATTTTTTACTTGAAACAACTTAGATATGATAATGTGTTACATACATCGCTGAAACTGAAGTTAATAATTGTACTGATTCAAAAATGATTGTTTCATAGCTATTGTTACTTAATGTCGATTATCAAGTATAGATATATAGTATGGAAATGATTCTTTAAATCTTGGGATTAACCGGAGTGAGTAAGTCGAGTACAGCAGCGATGTTGCCGTCCTTCTTCTCCAGGAGCTCGACCAGCCAGCCGCCCTCGTTAGTGAAGCCCATCGCCAGCATTTGACGCAGTGCCTCATCGATATGTGGCTCTGAAATAGTGTCATAGGTTAAGTGATGTAAACTTTAGCAGAGCATCTTTAAAATGTTATTATTAGTATGTGTGTAGTAACGGCGTCCCGGGCGCCATTAAGCAGGCCGAATGCAGGCAACATTGGAGGAAGCTGGTGCAAAAACTAGACCAAGGTGGGGTCACGACCCTCAGTAATGAGGAAGCGACGAAGAAGAAGAAGTATTATTAATGAAATAAAAAAATCGTATTACAAAGACATAGACATAGCGGTTACGAACTTCAGTCGTGTCATTTTTCTTCGTTTAATTTTATTCGTTTTTAATATAACTAGTGGTCCCCCAGTAGTCGAATTTCGGCTGTAATTGATTGAAATTATATGTTTGAACATTATTATTGGTTCCATTGTCTAAAATTATGTATACTTCTTTAATCACAGATTTCGCCAAGACTACAATATATACAAATAATATTAAAGACAAACAATATGCTACTATTCTCAATTTGGCTACAGACTTAAAACAATAACAAAAGTTTGAAAATAAACAGAGTTTATATAATATATGTGTGTTGTGTCAAATACATGGAAGTGTATGTAATGTTTTTTGTTATTGATTAATGTATTTTTTATGCAAAAATGAAAAACTAAATTAGCATTCTGCACTTCTTCTCCAAATTCTCTATAAGTGTGGGAAATTTCACACTCCTCCGTCTGCGCAATTTTTGTAAAAAATGATACAAAGTTTTTGCTTCACATATTAATATATATACTTACCAATTACAATCTACCGATATACCATCGCCCGTACTAGAAGGTACCGCCGTTCTACCTATAAAACAGTACGTACACCCGATTTCAAGGGTGAAATAGTTCTTATCCCCGTGAAATTAAAGACTCATCTCATGTCACTATACGAGCATCTGCTGACAAACGTTGTGTTTATGGACTGAGATAACATAAGTAGTGCTAATAAAAGCAGGAAATATTTACTAGCGTGGTGGAATCGTGGCGGAGTCAGTTGTTGCTGCATTGGTGTGGGTTGAGGTGTCGCCGACTTTGGAGGAGCAGTTGCTGGATTTGGGGGAGCAGCAGTTGCTGGCTTCTGAGTCGACTGCTGGTTGTCTTGTCTCTGGGCAACAACTGGTTGGAACTCCTTGGGACGCTCCACTTCTTTAGGTTTCAGCACTAAACACATATATATATACACATAGATATGACACAACAATGAACTGAATAAAATGAACAGTTGAATTTTGAATATTGCATCATGATAATAATTCACAACTCTACAAAAAAAAACGTTTTTTGTCCTAAAGTTTATACTAGGTTGTTCCGGTTAATTATTCACAAAAACGATAATAAAATACCTTTTTTTGGTATAAAGTTTGCTTTGGTGATAGTTACAGTAATAATACTCATTTTATCAATTTTTTTATTATATAAATTTTAATTAATTTTAATACTTTCAAAAAAACCGCGCTATGAGAGTGGGGTGCTTACGTTTACACAGTGCCACTAGATGGCATTCGAGTCATAAACAATGATCAGGTGTTTTGTACGAGCCCAGAAAAACTTGAAATGTCACGAATGTGTAAATACGATGCTGATGCATTTTGTTTCGTATGTGGTCAATTTATTAAAGTTCAAAAGCCAACTGTTTCATGATATGTATTTTTTTTTCGTCTAATTACGATTTGAAATATCAACATTGTATACTTTGCAATCAAAGTCAAATTTGGTGTTGACCCGTGTATAATCAGTGGTGTAGATTGGGAGTGGCTTATGTTCAACAATAGACCACTGACGTGAGCTGATGATGATGACGATGGTGGTGATAATTACCAGCTGTAGCGGTATTAAGTTGCGGGTACAGAAGTTGTCCAATAGTGACCCGCTGCTGGAACTCTTTGGGCAGATTAAATCCAATCGGAGCCACTGGTACATCCATGATGTGCTCGTTAGCACTCGAATCCATCAAATCTATAAAACATTATGAACTACTATTAGTACTATTTTGTACATTTGAAGGCAATGTTTTTTTTTATACAAATAATAATCACCTTTACCTTTGTTCACCATGGTCCAATCGTCAACCTTGTCGGAGGAAGCCTCTTTGTCTTGCCCAGAAGAATCAGAACTGTCCGAGTTTACAGATTTCGCATCAGTTTTATCCACATCGATCGCCATATTAGCGTCTCCCTCTCCTCCCTGAGCTTGGCTAGTAGCGGGCTTGTCGGAATCCTCGCCTGATGCTTGAGGCTGATTAGCAGAGGTAGACGGGTTTTGTAACTTGGCATTGTTGTGGGGCTCGATATACTTAGTGCGTATTATGTTAAGTACCTTTTGCAGATCATCCAGCACTTTAGGATCAGGGTCTTGATTAACATCGAATTGAATTTTGGGTCCTGAAGCTCCCCCATTATCGAACAGCGGAGCAGTGGCAGTTGTGTTTGGAGGGCATTTCTGTGAGGCATTCTGGGACTGAGGGATCTGCTGGGAAGGATTTCGGTTCAGTGAGGCTGCCTCAGAAGCCTTTGGTGTCTCGGAAGCTTGATCAGTATTTTGAGGATGAGGAACTTCCTGAGAAGTACTTTGGTACTCGGAACTCGGCTTGGGAGTCTTCGGAGGAGGGTGCTCGGTGGAAATATCCATATCGAGACCAATATCTCCAACGAGGTTGGTAAACTCGTTCATGTATGTGGTGAAGGTGTCCAACCAGCTCGGCCGAGAGCGACGCTGGTGTTCACGCTCTGCCCTGTCTGCTCTAACCCCATTAGTTTCTTCACGGCGTTTTGTGTCCCCACTACGTTCACGTCTATTCTTCTTGTAAGGGCATTGGTCGACGTGGGTAGCAACCGATTTGAAAATATGACGGGATCTCTTAATTGCCGCCTTGATCAAGGTGCGCTGTAAAATTAATTCATTGTACTCGACTTATGTACACTTAATTGAACCCTATATGTAAAAGTACCTACTAATCCAATAAACTACAAACTGTATTAATCGTAATCTTTAGAAAATAGTCATAATTACGTTGATTGTCTGAATCAAATCGAACATGTAACTAATCATTTTGTACTTTAAACATAATGCTTCCTTTATGCGTATCTCAAAATTTGAATTCCGAATAAATTAATTACAGTAGATGGTTTTATAACGTATTCTATTGTAGATAATAGTGATGTCATTAACGGCAAAAGGTATCTTCGCGAAAATATTTTTAGGTAAGCAACAAATAAATGAACGATCTCTCAGCACATGTGCTTTGCTACAAAAATTGATAGGATTGGGTATACACCCACTCTTGTGGGTATTCAATAGCGTCCTACGAATTACGAATATTTAAATTAAAGGCTTATCTATACCTAAATTTATAACAGTGTCGAACCCCGTCACACTTTTTCGGTCTACATTCTTATTGTTTGCTTCGTAAAGTCACGCGTTGTTCTAAATAACGCACGAATTACTCACACTCCTTATCAAGAAATAAAATGTATTTATTATATGGGTACATAAGTAATCAATACATTTTCAAATACAAACAAAGGCTGATTGATATTGTTTGACTGCGGAATTACAAGATATTCTTTGGTCATTGTGTATTCGAAAATTTAACTCTAACAACGTTGCAGGACGTGTGTGTGTAGCTACATGTATACATGTGTGTAGCTATACATTTCCCCGGTCACGTTAGAGACGAGTACTTACCGACATGTCCGGTGTGGGGAGACGGACCATGCAGTGTTCATTGTGATTCCCGGCGGCCTCGCACTTGGAGCACAAGTCGTAGTCATGACAAATTGCGCACTTGTAACGGAAACCCACAACTGGAGAGTTGCATACATTGCAAACAACTCCGCTATGAACTGCCGTGTTACCTGCACGACAAAATGTTTTCTTTAAAAGGTCAATTCTGAAAACGAACTGCATTTTATACATATCGACGCTTGAAAGGCAAACGTGACTAAACGACAATGCGTGAATTTTACAGTAGACTAATTTAAAGTTGAAATACCTGAAAAAAATATATTTTAACGAATCTAGCTGTAGGATTGAAATTTTTTTAACAGACCTAGAAATATATATTTTTTGCGCATCGAATATGGTTATTGCCTAACATTTATGTATAAAGCAGTTATTGTCGCTTAGTCACGTTTGCCTTTCAAGCGTCGATATGTATATAGCTTAAAGACAAAACAAATAAACAACTTTTGCGATTTGTTTATTTTCGATACAAATTAAACACATTTTTTATAGTATAAAAAGTCATTTGCTTCGAATATTTTTAAACTTTTTGTGACAGTATAAAGACAATAAAACGCGAGATTAATCCGTAAAAGTAGTTTTAATTCCGTCAAATAAAAGAGTTGTTGCAAGTCGGCAATTTATGTATAAACTAAAACAGGAGAGGACAAGGTGACCTTGCTCAAAACTACGACTCCCAGTTCTAAGGGAATACCTACCACAGCACTCTTTACACCACTCTTGATTTACTGGTAGATAATAAAGAATTAATTCGGCCACTGGACTCTCGCACATAAAGTTAAATAAATAAAAGCACTAAAAAAACCAGTTTGTCCTACGAATGACTGTCCGGTGGAATGTTGAATCGTGCCAACGAATAAGTTCAAAAAGCAAGTTTTCAAATTTAATTAAAATTATAATACCATTGTACTGCTACTATATAACGCGTTAGTTAATGCAATAACTGCAAGTTCTTCCGGTAAACGTTTACCTTGACTCACATACGTAATACATAAATATGTTGATACTTTTTTTGTATATTGCGTATGGCAGTAATTACTTTAAATTTTAAATTTTAATCCGTCTATTGCTAACGTATCGCAGTATTATTAGTCAGCACAAACAATGAAGATGAGTAACTCAAGTAAATGCGGACAGCGGGCAACAATAACAAAATATTACGAAAAGTACAAAACTTACGCGAACGATGTCTAAAAACTTTTAACGGGAACACCATCACAAAATAGTTAGCGGGTTTTTTTGCAATTTAAAAGTTCTGATTATCGTTTAGAATCGCACTCCGATGTAAACCCAAACGATGTTATGCAATCGAGTATCCTCCGATATCAACTCAGATCGTATCTGCGCATGCAGCAATCAATACGAGAGGTACTGGTAACAAAGGAGGAGGCGGGAATAGCTGTGCCTCATAAGGTTGGCGGGACGGGGATCATTTTATTGGGAAATGGGAGTATGATTTCCCCCCACCCATGTGCAAAATAGGGTGCGCATAAAGTGTGATATCGATTTCGGGACACTTCCGACATTACGGAATATTCATGGGACTCAAAAGCTAAAATCTAGCCGATATCTACGTAACGATGCACGCCACCCAAAACCTTATTGTTTTTGCTATTCTGTGTAATCTCACTTAGCCTGTTAGACCGAAATTCGGTGACAATTGTATTTTGCGATAATCACCACGAGGAAACTACGAACACAAAACAAACATTTCGAAGCGGGAAATATAAATTGGCAGTTGGGCTTGTCAGGCTATCAACATATTTATTTATTAGACCTTTGAAGTCGTAGTGATCTAAAGAGTAAAGAGTAAGTTGCTCGGCGTACTTGTATCAAGCAATGCGACTATACCGGTGTTCAAATTCCACAAACCAATACCAAAGTAAATAATAGGTACTTAACACGTGTTCACGAAAGACTTGTACGATAAGGATACTTCTTTCTAAATAATTCATATACAGTTGTAATATTAAGACACTGAGTTCGTTTTTATTTAAACGTTAAAATGTCTTAACTAGAATCAAAAGCGTACAGAGTAAGCCCAGTTACGCCAGTATTAAAAGATGGTACTGCCCTGAAGAACAACTAGTCTCCTATTAATAGATTGTAATAATTGTTATTTAAAGATAACACATTGTTTAGTCTATAATCAAAAACAAGCAGGGTAAGGGCCGTGACGACAGTATAAAGCGGCATGTGTCTGGAGACGGGAATGTTAGCCAATCCTCTCAGACTAAGGCCTGTGAGCTCGCCCACCTGTCAAAATGAAGTCAGAACAGCCCCCCGCTAACCGGCTACTAGCAGATGGGTAAGCAACAAAAGAGACCGGATTCAGAACGAAACTGTAAACTTTCTGGTTATTATGAGAATTACTTTTTACGAATATTTATTACCGTTAAGTAATGATTGTTTGAAAAGCGTTGCTGAATTGTATTACATAAATCTACAAAGCATTACAACTGTAGCTCAGTCACTGTAGATGCCCTATTTTATAGTATACGTAATTCCTAGTTGTAGGTATTACCTGCGTGGATGGGTAGCACCATTCTGCCTATATCTGCCTTGACGCAATTGATACGATCGGATTTGAAGGGTGGGATAGTTATTACACAATACAATTGAGACTACATCTCATGGCTCTTCACACTGATATCTATAGGCTCCAGTAACAACTTTATCCCAAGTGCACCATGAGGCATTTACCATTCTACACGATAAAAACAAAATACATTATAAGGCATTCACTGACAATGCCAGTTTAAGTTAGAACGTTAGATGTTAAGGCATCTAGGCAATTGAAATCAATTATATTACATTGCTATTTGCATGAAGAAATATATGTTATATAAATTATATTATTTGAATATTTAATTGATAGAATTATATATTTGAAGAAATGTAATTAAATATTTTCGAGTTTAGTATTCACATCGGGAACCGGTATCAACAACTGTCTTATTGGATACACAGATAACAATAAACAATAGATAAGCTAATCAATACCTTCGAAAACATAAATACTTGTTGTTTCAGCAGGTATACCTTCATCACTGAAGTCATTCATTAACATGTGTCAGATATAAAAATTTGTAACCAATAGAATTTATTTTACTAATAATGCCATAGACGCTTATAATGCCTCACCAACATTATTTAAATAACAGACAACATAATTCTACTCTGTGATCAAATAATCAGAAAAAACTTACCATCCGTGTTTTCTGGGAACATTGTAGTCGCAGTTATCTCTATTTCACAGTCATCATCTCTAATATCTGGATTCTTGCAGTGAACGTTGAGCTTAATCAGCCCACTCTCCAAAGACACTAGTGCAGTCATCATTTCATCATCTGATGAAATTATAATGTCATCACCTTCCTCATCTGAAAATAACCATATTTAAACCATAATTGTTAATCAACTTAAACTTAGAGGAACTGTATTTATTTACATAGTAGAATAAAAACAAAAAATTGATCACCTTTCCATGATACTTTATAAATCTTGTTCCGCAGCTTTGGGTAGACTTCTTGCAGTTTCGCATTCAAATAATGAAAACTGCTCACAACAGTTTTCTCAACACCAAATCTCCTTACTTCTGGCTGAGCATTCTCCTCAAAAAATGCATAAACTTTAAATGGAACTTGGTCCTCCATTTTCTAAAATCAAATATAAAAGGTATTATGCATTAAAGGACTGCAGCAAAAATAGAATTGAAATAAATACATAGTTGAAGATGCACCTATAGAAAACTGTAAGTAGCAGGTGTAAGATCTATGTATAAAGAAGCAAAGATAAAGCAGTTCTGTTGAACAGTAGCGTTTTTCCCTTCTGTTGGTCTTTACTTCCNGAACTTGGTCCTCCATTTTCTAAAATCAAATATAAAAGGTATTATGCATTAAAGGACTGCAGCAAAAATAGAATTGAAATAAATACATAGTTGAAGATGCACCTATAGAAAACTGTAAGTAGCAGGTGTAAGATCTATGTATAAAGAAGCAAAGATAAAGCAGTTCTGTTGAACAGTAGCGTTTTTCCCTTCTGTTGGTCTTTACTTCCAAAGTTTATAAAAAAATTCGGAAACCGTATTTTTTTTGTTTCCGTCTATAGAAGAAAACTGTAATGTAATCCAATAAATCAATCTAATTCAAAGGTGAATCAGTAATTTTAGTAAAATTATGACCACTGGGCGAACACTATTAAACGGAAACAAAAACGCAAAGATTTTAACTATTGTTTTTAAAAAGGTTTACAAGTGAAAAAAGTTCATTAAACACTATGTTAATGTTATCGCTGCAGCATCAATTTTTTTTACTTTGGTCCGCATGCGCAAAATGATAGGCCATTTTGTTCAATAAAGCCTGATTTTGTTGGCTGTAGAAATATTATTATTGTTGTTTTAATGATTAAAACAATTGTATCCAATAGCATAACTTACCGATTTATATAAATGCACTGGCCGTAAAATGACACAAATAACACGTATTAATACAGGCGTTACCACTAATAAATGGTTAGTGAAGCTTCGAATTACTTTTTATATACTTTTATGCAAGCACTAAGAATTATGATTCACGTATTTTCGAATGTTAGAGAACGATACAGAAAAACAATGATTTGTTGTGCAATACAGCTGATTTTTTTAAGGTATTTTATGACCTGGTAACTAAGATTTTTAGGTCAAGTTTTATTTGAATTTTAATGAAAACTGCACTCTAAGAAAAATTATAACAGGAAGTGAAATGGAGTTGATTAATATGAAACATGGCATGAAATGAAATTAAATTAAATGAGATGAGATGATATGGGATGAAATATAATCTCAGTAAAATGGTGGTCATTTACTGAGACTTTTTCAGTGGACTTTTTGGCGGAAGCGCGAGAAATGAAGTTGTGTGATTTTTTTTATTGCTTAGATGGGTGGACGAGCTTACAGCCCACCTGGTGTTAACTGGTTACTAGAGCCCATAGACATTCACAACGTATATGCGCCACTCACCTTGATATATAAGTTCTATGGTCTCAAGTATAGTTACAACAGCTACCCCATCCTTCAAACCGAAACGCATTTCTAATTCGCGGCAGAGATAGGCAGGGTGGTGGTACCCACCCGCGCGGACTCACGAGAGGTCCTACCACCAGCTATAACGAAAACTATAATTTTGGGGATTTGATTTTTAATACACGATGTTATTCCTTCACCATGGAAGTCAATCGTGAACATTTGTTGAATACGTATTTCATTAGAAAAATTGGTACCCAGCTGAGATTCGAACCCCGGTGCATCGCTCAACACGAATGCACCGGACGTCTTATCCGTTAGGCTACAACGACGTTGTTTTATTTTGTCTATTTAGTGTTTTTCACTTCTTCTTCAGTTTCAATGTGTACCTAATAGCGGTGGTTTGTTCACTGCTTAGGACCTATCTGTGAAAGTGCACAAATGTGGGAAAATGAAACAAAGCCGCTGGACGTAACTTCTCGAGATCCTCCAAAAAGTCCACTGAAAAAATCTTAGTAAATGACCACCATTTTACTAAGATTATATTTCATCCCATATAATCTCATTTCATTTCATTTCATTTCATCCCAGCTGATTAATGTCTCAAATTAATCATCTTCATTTCATTTCACTCCATTTCATTTTTCATAAAAATATGAATATAAATTAAAATAAGATATGACTTAAAGGTCTCAGTTACCAGGTCATAATATCTCTTAAAAAAAAGCCACGTAGTGATTAGTGATTATTAATATCATTACTTGCTACTTGCTCAGTCTCTGGCAAATGGCAATGCTATGCCAGCGAAATGAGATAAAATTTCGTATTCAATTAGGATGAAATTAAATGAACAAAGAAGAATGGGGTGAAATATAGACGCAGTACATAAATGTTACCACCCACCTTGAGATATGAGTTCTAAGGTCTCAAGTACAGTACAACGGATGCCCCACCCTTCAAACTGAATAGACAGGGTGGTGATAACTAAACGTGCGAACTCACGAGACGTCCTACCGCCAATAACTACGCAAATTATAATTTTGAGAGTTTGATTTTTATTTTGTGGAAAGATTTTAAAAACAGTTCTATAAACTATAGTAATCGGCATGAGTCCTGATCTCTTACCTTGACATGCGCAAAAGTCCACTTTTTGGGTCTGTTTGGGGAACGAGGCAAGAACGTTTATTACTGGTGGTAGGACATCTTGTGAGTCCGCGCGGGTAGGTACCACCGCCCTGCCTATTTCTGCCGTGAAGCAGTAATGCGTTTCGGTTTGAAGGGTGGGGCAGCCGTTGTAACTATACTGAGATCTTAGAACTTACATCTCAAGGTGGGTGGCGCATTTACGTTGTAGATGTCCATGGGCTCCAGTAACCACTTAACACCAGGTAGGCTGTGAGCTCGTCTACCCATCTAAGCAATAAAATAAAAAAACCTGCGTTGTGCACGCGCATCATGTTTTGTTCCTGCATATTCTAGTAACCTCGAGGGGTTATTCTAGATCCACCGAGCTTGTAGGTTAGCTCACGGTATTCAAACCGGAGTATTGCTAACACTGGCTCTAGCAAGAGCAGTGCTTCGCAGAATCTACCAACAGATCGGAAACGCAACCGGCGAGAAAATCAGTGGGCTGTGTCTATGGGTTAATTTACTCGTCGAGCCCTTCGTCGACGGGTTCGGGGAGGACGGTGACCGGGAGCACTGCAGTAAACTACACTTTCGTACAATTTTATTAACCACGCCTCAGGTATCAAGTTAACTCATGCGAGTTACAGTAAAAGTCTCGTTTAGAATGAATGTTTAATCTCCACTAGTACATATAGATCGTAATAATTAATTTAATTTGAAGATATTGTGGTTTTTAAGTAGGTGAAAAAATGGGGGCGCTAAAAATGTATCCTCAAAGTCGGCATCGCTGCGCCATTTTGAGAAGGCGGCGCTGGAAATTACATACCCGACCCAGTAGACCGTATGGTAAACCGTCGACGTCGCCCAAAGCACGTCATTACGGATCCTTCTGATCCATTAACGGTGCTTTTAGGCACCACAAGCACGGGTCACCGTCCTCGTCGAACCCGTCGCTTGCGACGAAGGGCTCGACGAGTGAATTAACCCATAGACACAGCCCACTGAGTTTCTCGCCGGGTCTTCTCAGTGGGTCGCGTTTCTGATCCGGAGGTAGATTCTGCGAAGCACTGCCCTTGCTGGGGTCAGCAACTCTCCGGTTTGAGCCCCGTGAGCTCACCTACAAAAAGTAGGGCGAAGCTGAAATAGCCTCTCAAGGCTATCAGCATAGGTAGGAAAAAAAAAAGACAAAATAGTTCTGTAGATCAATACGCAATAATGTAATGATTTCATAAAAAAAGAGTAATAAATCGTCTTCTCGCATTAAAACTGTATAATCTCAGAACTTACTAATTTTACAGGAGTGTTTTAAAGGTTTAATATGTAATATTGTTAATATTAATCATATTTACAACATTTATTTTTGATTTTTTACCAGTTACATTATCTGTATTTCAAATTAAGATAAAATTATGTATTAATTTTGTTAATAGTAGTCAGAACATAGGTAAATTATAAAAAAAAATATTTTTGGAAATTGTACACTTTTAATGCAAAAAGGCGATATGTGTCAAGAAACAATACATTCTCTTAATCTATATAACTAAAGTAAACTAAATAACATTGTACTTGTTTCATTACATGAACATAAGATTAGGTTGCTTGCTACATTTACATATTTATGGATTAATAATTAAACAACAAAAATGAATTCCTAGTCTGAAAGTAAAGTATTTTTGTTTCCAATTCGGTACTAGAACATTATTATTATTTGTGCTATTACTCTTGATGTTCCTTATCTGTCGATTTTTTTGGCTCTTTGACTAAATATTCATTTTTCTTCGCATCCACAAACTTTGGAGGTCCACCTAATTGAACAGTTTCAGGTATATTCAGTTCTTCATTAAGTTTTTTAGCTAAGAAATATATTTCTGCTAGTGCTATTACTAATGCACACATAACACCGAGAAGAAGGCGAAATCCAAAATCTAAACTGCCAATCATCCATTCAACACCTTTGAACCCAAAGAGAAATCCAGCAAATATTGAAATAATGAACTGTCCAATAGCAATCAATTGTCGATTTACCTGTTTCACTGAAAGTGTTTTAAATAAATTATCATTAGTATATATTATTATTAACTATAAGCACACAATCAAAGTATTCACAAAGCATAGTTAAAGACTTACATTGGTAGGAAATACTATCTTCTGGAAATCTCATTCTAACATTATCTACTCCTTTAGTCATTTTTCTGTATTCTCTTGCTTCCTGCTGAGCTCTAAGTTTCACACATCTTGCTTCTAAAACAGGATTTCGCTTAAGTACTTTATTTCCAGGCATTTCAATTCTAGCTCCTTCTAAAAGTTCATGTAGGTATGGAACAGTTTCCCCATTAGTCCTCCTTTGTTGAAGATGCTGGTATAACCAATAGACATCTGAAGTTGTTAAATATGTACCTTTATTTTTATCAGCTTCACTATCATTACCTATTGTATTATTACTTGATTTAGAATTTTCAATACTTTCTTTTTTATCTGTTAGCTTCTCATCATTGTCAGTGACGTTTTTTGAAATTGTTTTAGTTTTATTTGTTTTTATTTTATCATGTTCAACAAACTCAGGCTCTATTTCTGTTTTATTTACTTTCACAGCAGAATCTCTTGATATTGTTTTCTTTATAGTCCTTAGTAGTTCAATATCTTCATTGGTTAAGTTCACAGTCTTAGCAAAATAATCAAAATCTTTTACATTACATTTTGTTTCATAGTCACTTCCATTTTTTAATTTCAATATGTTTTCTGGTACTTTGTCATCTTTGATTTTTTTAATATATTCCAAAAAGCCATTTGTTGGATAAATCCTAACATTTGTATCAACTAATGAACCTTTAAGATCCATAATTTAAATATCAGCAATATTTAATTTGTGTTTTAGGTCAGCATACAGATCTCTCAATTCTTCTTCTTTTTCCTCAAAAGCGTTATCGATCCTTTGGCACTTAAAGTTCATATCATCAATAAACTTGTCCCATTCTCTTTTTCTCAATTCTTGGTTACTTTTTATTTGCTTCTGGCAAACCTGAAAACGAAATTTGATCAAAACAACATTTCCAGTTTTGCGACTGACAAACATCCATGACCAGGAACTGTTAAATATTGAAAATGTTGGAAATTCGAAAATAATAATACTAAAGTGCAGCCTTCTTTGAGAACCTGTTGCAATTTTTAAATTATAGGCCTGTCATTTTTGCTCTTTGGACAACCAACAAATTGAGTAATCTTTATTATCAGGTAAAAAATATTCAACTCATAGAGGAAGCATCAAGTTGATGTCTACATGACATCCATTTTAGCTTTCTGATGTATATTTATTATTAAATCCCTTCAGTATTAGCTTTTACTTGATACTTACTTACTTTACTTGATATATACTTGAGAAGCAACTGTTTGCATTTAAATCCTATAATCCCTAGGCTTCATATTTTTAAAGTGAATACAAACATTGTTTTCAAGATAGTCCCCCAAATTGAATGATTACCAGGTGTACCAGTAGGAAGTGGGTATCAGGAATACAAATGTTTCAGTTTACAGAATTGAAAAGGAGTAGAAGGAATCCACAGTACAGAAAAATAAAAGAATGAGCCAGACAATAGCATATTCTGGTAGTAGTTAGGTTTCATAAATTCTTGGTAGCCACTGATGAATTAGAATCTGGTGCAAATATGGCTTTCTTTAAATACAAGTATTGTGGTAGCATTTTAAAAAATATAATTTATGAACGTACCTTTTGTGTTTCAAGATAATCTTTTTCCAATTCTTCACATAAATTCAAGGCCTGTTCAAGTTTTTCACTCAGTACTGGTAATGCATTATGGCCACTTTTTCTAATACGTTCTGATTCANCCACTGATGTATTAGAATCTGGTGCAAATATGGCTTTCTTTAAATACAAGTATTGTGGTAGCATTTTAAAAAATATAATTTATGAACGTACCTTTTGTGTTTCAAGATAATCTTTTTCCAATTCTTCACATAAATTCAAGGCCTGTTCAAGTTTTTCACTCAGTACTGGTAATGCATTATGGCCACTTTTTCTAATACGTTCTGATTCATTATCTTTGATTTCAGTAATTTTTTCTAAGATTTTAAATAGGTTTTCAACTTCTCGATCGCCTCTCTTTTCCTATAAAACTCAAATTGAATAATTATGTGTTGGTTGATTGTTACAAATTATTCATTTTATAAATACTATGTACTACAGACCTCAAACTCTTTCAGCATATACTTTATCTCTCCATTCAGAAATGGACGGTGGTCGAATAATCTTGACCAAATTTCGCCAATTTCTGTAAGAGGACGATTTTAACTTGATTACAACTTGACAACTTATAGGCGTTATAGCTATTTTAAATATTCTCTTTAAAAATAAATAAAACGCCCAACTGCAGATTAACAAAGTTCAACACTTTCCTTACTTATGAACACTACACCTAAATTACCTATTAAATTTAGTAATATTATCAAAAAATATTACAAAATTGCACAAACCTCGTGACAGCTCAGTCATTGTCATAGACTAAGCCCAATTTTTTTCTTTACTCTTTGGATTTTACCATAGAAGTCGAAATGTATCTTGAACTGAGTGATTTGATATTTCATCAAAATCGAAACTGGAAAGAATAAATTTCAATGCTTCTAAGTACGTGACACAAACCTGCTACAACTTACACTATTCTAGAGTAAAGTAAACGGCTGATCTATACAACCTTTATTAGTGACGAGAAGAATTCAGAAGAAGACGAGACAAAAAAGAAAAGCCACAGGACCAATCATTTACTAAAATCGTTCCCATTCTTTTCGTCACTATGGTTCAAAAACAAACCACGTCGTTCTATGCATTCATCAATCAATTTAGTAATTTCATTCAACGTTGTAGAGAATGGGTGTATCGTGAGATTCGGAGCTTTTGCGATTATTGTTTTTATTTGCGTGTTTGTTAGTGACAATGCGGTTGTTAAATCTTTCTCTTGACATTGACTAGTGGTTTAATTTTGCCTTCAAAACGGCTGTTAATTGGACTCTGGTGGCAAAATAGTGATATCAGTAACAATGCCGGGTCTTATTGGTATTGGTGAATTCATTGAGGAAACTCGAGAGGATTACAGTTCACCGACTACATCTACGTTCGTGTCACGAATTCCACAATGTCGTCAAACAATCAACGCTCTAGAAGAGGTAATCACAAAATAACTATATACCTGTTTTGATAAATTTTAATATTAAAAAAAAACTATTCCATTCAACGAACATTTTAAAACATTAGATGGAAAAATATTCTGAATACTGGAAAATAAATGTAACGTAACTGATTGTAGAGGACGTTGGAACCTCCCGGGTTCCTCNCGAATTCCACAATGTCGTCAAACAATCAACGCTCTAGAAGAGGTAATCACAAAATAACTATATACCTGTTTTGATAAATTTTAATATTAAAAAAAAACTATTCCATTCAACGAACATTTTAAAACATTAGATGGAAAAATATTCTGAATACTGGAAAATAAATGTAACGTAACTGATTGTAGAGGACGTTGGAACCTCCCGGGTTCCTCTTTTTTCTGCAGCAAAGCAATCATGTATTGTGGTTTGACTGTTGGCCAGCTGTTGTACCAACACAGTAGGCACTTCAATGTTATATTTTAAGTTAAGTAGCGGCATCATGTGTTTTTTAGCAATATTTATCAGTTATATCAGATGGCCTATGAGCCTCAATTCAATGTTCGGTGGTTACAATATGTTGAATCTATCCTGTTTTATTTTGGATGTAAGTTTTGAAATGCATGTTAAAGCCTGTACTTATTTTTATCACTCTCCTTGTTGGGCAAAGCCTGAATAGTCAATACCAACATATTTGGATGGCATGTGAGCCTAATGCATAAAACTTTATCCTGCTTATTTGCCAATCATTCATCGGAGTTTATAAGTAAAATAATTGTAATTTTAATCTAATCAATGTATTATTAATTTTTAGTCATTATTATTCATTCTAAATGTTTTTCCTTTTTACTTAACAAGTAGCCTTTGTACAAAATATCTTAGCATGTAAAATAGGACATGTGCCTTTAAAACGTTTTAGTTTTAATTGCGATTATAATATAAATAATGAAATAAAACTTATAATAGGGACAAAATATGGAGTAGGGTGAAATAATGGGATACATTTAATTGTTTTATTTAGAATACTATATTTTATTTTATTTTTATTTTATATTATATTTTGCACATTTACTTATTGAAATGTTATATTTTTTTTTTGTTCAGTTGCTGAACCTCTTTTAATATAGTCCAGTGGCATATTCACATGAATTTTGGCATTAGATTGGGTTTTTATTGCCCTTGTAGGCACACGAGCATACGGCCCACCAATGCCAGGGGCAGAGCCAAGCTGCTGCCTACTGTTAAAGTATTATTTAACTTAAAAACAATAAAAAATAAGTCCTAATAGGATTGTAGTTGACTAATATTATAAGAAGCAAAAATATAAATGTAACTCATTACAAAATGATATTCATCATCAGAAATCTAGAGGATGAAATTTAGATTCACTACGCTACATAAATAAAACAGGTTAAGAATCTTGTAAATATAAAAAAATATATCAATTTAATCAATTTTTTCTTTTGTAAATATTTAGAGACCCATTTTTTATTTGAATTTCATGATTAGATTACAATAAACATGTATTCAATAGAAAATATTATATTGACGAGGATGCGGACGTTATTATGAGGAGTCTGGAATAGTGTGGGCGAGTTTCGACCTTGCCAGCGTCCATTACGCCCCCTTGTTGTTAGCAAATAATGATATGATAATTTACAGAGTTGTAATTTAAGTTTTTAAAGGAAAACAAAAACTAAATCAAATCTAAATAATAAGGTGATCATATTTACATTTTTGTGCTTACGAAAATGGCGTTGTTGCGGCAATGATTAGTGAGTGTTGGCTTCTGACTTCTTGCCTTTCAGCCTTGCCGTCGTAGGCGTAGACCCGTAGTCAGCAGTGGAATGAAAAGTAGCCTATGTTCTTTCCTAGGACTATTTCCGTATAGAATTCCGTAAAATTGTTTCACTGAATTGAGTGTGAAAACTTAACTAACAAATAGGGTTGCTATCGTTTTCATAAAATTAAAATTTTGGTTGACAGCGTTATTGGCATAGCCGTATAAATCGACGTGCTAATTTGATCAAAATAAACTTCATTAATTTTTAGTAGCGACGCATTGTTTAAAACATATGAATATAAATAGCAATTAAAAAGTTTAGGAAACATTACTAAATTAGCTGCTTAATCTCGCATTTATTATATTCAAAGTATCGAATACTCTACAGTTTTCGTGTTCACCAATGGCTACAATGTTATTGTTATTTTAAAGAATGACGTACGTTGATGAAATTACAAAATTTCAGCTCAATCTGAAAAACTAGACGAGAACACAAACAACACGAACAAGCAAAACCCTTGATATTTGATTATTTTGTATTTAGTAGTACAATTCGCAAATATAGTATGAAGTTAATGGAACTGTAGTAAAACCTTGTTGATGTTAACAAATGACTGAGGTATTTTATCTGAGGCTTTACCTAGAGTAAAGGTTATCCTTACTACCTAGAACTATTGCGTTTATCCACAGAGTTTTCTTTTTCGCGTTTCCTGAGATGTTTTCTGCCACGTAGCATCCGGCTCTGGAATAAGCTCCCCACTACGGTACTTCCCGAACGTATGACATGTCCTTATCCAAACGAAGCTCGCGGAGAGTACTTAACAGTAGGCAGCGGCTTGGCTCTGCTCCTGGCATCGGTGACGTCCATGAGCGATGGTAACTACTCACCATCGGCTGGACTGTATGCTCGTCTGCCTTTCAACAAACAAGGGCATTTCATTGTATAACTAATATGGTAAAGTATTCGCATCATTCTTCTCCTAACTGTCTTATTTCCTATTTCGAGTAATATCCAAAGCATTATTTAATCAAGATAATACATTAGGCTTTAATTATTTATGCGTATTAAAATCTATAACGTCTACTTATCAGACGGTAACAGAGAATAACGCTATGAAAATTGATAAATCAATACTATTCTTTCGATTGTGAATACGTAATAAAGCGGCGGCTGTCTGCGTGCGCTAAAGTCATTTTCTTGAACGCGAAGTATGGGCTAGATCTAGGTTAGCCTTGCTACATAAATTACCATACATTATAATTACATTTGTACATACAGTATTTTTACTGAAAAAAAGTTATGAAAATAATTTTAGAATCATCATAATAGTGATGGTTTTGTATTATATTTCATAAAAAAAATTACTAAAATCTAACATAAAGATGTTTAATAGTGTTCAAAATATTTCGTTTAGCCTTAGAGTATTGTAAATCCGAAAATTCTCGTCTGTATTGGAAATGGAAGCTCGCGCACTGGCTGGTGTTCAATGAAGTTCATAGCCTACGTAATACATTACAAAGCGAATGCAGCCGCCAACCTTGATACTTGAGGCCGAAGTCTCAATTGTATTTTATAACGCCTATCCCACCCCTTAAACTGTATCGCATAACATTTCACTGCCAACATAAAAAAGATAGCAGTACTCACTGGTGCGACCCTATAGTACGCCAGTATAAGAATCATCAAGCCGAGAGGTATTTAGTACAAATTGCATGCGTCGTATGACTTATGCGTCTCATCAAAACAAATACAGCCATACTATGTAAGAAAACTTTCAAATCTTTGACGCACTTGTCAAAAATAAAGGGGAGAGTTTCTGAGCCGTATCTACTATGCAGTTTTATGCACTCACTCTTATTAACTCTTTTTATCTTATATTGATACTGGGTAAAGGAAATTTTATTGATATTTTCATATAATTTGCAAGCTATGATTGAAAGTAAATAATCCTATCTATTTTTATACCTTATTACTTAACTGAAATTTTTATTTCAAAGTTTATTTTTCTAATCGAATATACTGTAATAAACTACTTCAATGTTTAATTTAAAATAGTATTATGACTTAATTATAAGAAAGCATGGTATAGAAAGGTTTTTAACAAATTAGATGCGTTCGTATCGTGTTTCAATTTCCTGTGTGAGAGTTGATCACGGTAGGTACATCAAAACGAGGTTCGTGGCGAAGCTTGTATCCGCTAACGAATAAAACAAAGTGATAGAAAGGTACCTAGTATGGGCATGCGCAGGTTACTAGGTCACTAAAGCGATTCACCATTAAATGGAAATTGTAGATTCTAATCCTGAATGGAAAGTCGGTAAGCTAAATTGAAACGAGAATGTTAATTGGGAAATGAAAACTCTCTTCGCGGATATTATTTTTATAATCTTCAGAAAATGTCATTTGATAATCAAGTTCAATAAGAAGTAAGTTGAAAACTTGAAGACATTTAATCGTTATGGTTGTATAATAATGATTTTTTTTCGGTCACTGTGAAATCACCGCACTTCCGCGTATGCGTTGAGGGCGGTGAGTCGGGCATCGGAGTTGAACCGACTAAACCCACATTCGATCAACAACCCGTGTCCAAATCTCAGACAGAAATCTAAGACAACTCGACTGAAACAGGCGAGAGGCAAGATGTCTTGGCTAGTGGCAGGTCGCCAGATTTATCGACCAGTCTTCCAACGCAGGTTGCCGACTTTGGATTTTCTGCACCCGGTTGACACTAGAGTAGGGGTGCATCACACACGAATCATGGTGCTCGGCTTACCACTGATAATTGGCAACGAAACCCTCCACGATTCAAGGCAGCGTCTCCCCGTTAACACGAATGTTATCACAAAGGATTTGGTGCGGTAACCTCGACTAGCCCTGACCGTGATGACGCGCTGCATCCAATTTGACTTAATTAAGCTTATGTCAATCTCGATATAAATATGTTCTAGAACATGCGACCAAATATTGATTCGCCGTCTTAAAGCAACGTATTATTATTGCGATTTATAAAATTATAATATATTTTTAATGACTTCGAAAATGTTTAGGACAATCCTAAACACAAAATTTTATATGATTGTTTTTAAATGTAGAAACACACTAATAAGTATGGCAACACATTTAGCGGTAGTTAAAAATACAATCTAGTTATTGATGGTAGCACTAAGATACAGTCCACGCTCTAAACCAGCGGTCGGGGAACCAGCGTAATTTACTGGGGTAAAATGAAATTTT